TGCTGCGTCTGTGAGCTGCACCGTTTACGTGTGTCCATCAGCAGCCAGAGGCCATGCAGCTAGTCTCCCACCCACCTACTTTATTCTAGCAGAATGTAGGTGTGTCAACATATTCAGGCTGATAAAGGGAGTGCATTGTGAGAGCTGTAGGTTCAGGAGAGAGTGCAGTTGTAGGGATCAGGGCCTGTGTTTATTGGTTTTTGACAGAGATTGGCTCAGTTTGACCCTGGGTCAGTGAGCTGGCCTGGGCCAGAGTAGGTTAGATCTGCCTGGCTTTGGGCCACACTAGGCCTCTTTGTGTTCTCTCTGAGTTCAGGTCTGTCCTGGGAGACAGCCAGCTGAACAACATGCTGCAGTAAGATCACAAATGCTGACCTCAACTTCTGCTTGGGTCAAATGATGATTATTTTCTCTGAGAACTTGACCAATAACTTATGCCTTTCATTATTGTCCTCGTGCTTCATTTGCTGTATTATACAAAAAAAAAAAAAAAAAAAAAACTTAATTTGGAGGGGCCGGAGGCAAGGGGTTCAATGTTGGTAGTAGAGACAAACAGAGCAAAGTTGAACTTTTTCTATTTTGCAATACATTCTTGGTACTCTATTTGCTGAATTAGTTCTTTCAGTTTTACCAACTTATATTTTTTTTCTTAGAGGGGTCGATCTGAGCTGATAGAAAAGTTTATGTTCTGCTTTCAAACTCTGTGCTCAGTGCATGACTCGTATAAACTATAGTATCATAGCTAAACAGGGAGGTAGATCTTTGTGTAAAATGTTAAACAATGCTGATGGACACTAGAAAACACATTGGCTGCACTGTTGCCTTGCAGGTAGAAGGTCGTGGGTTTGTATCCAAGCTTAACTTCTTTCTACATAGAATTAGCATGTACTTCCTGTGCATGCGCAGGTTCTCTCCGGGTATTCCAGCTTCTTCCCTCAGACCAAAAACATGGAAGCGACCAACAAATTGTAGATAATATACTTTGAACTGAATAAACTGAGGGGCTGGGTTTTCTGGGGGGTTACCTAATAAAAAAACTTATTCATGACAAGCTGAAGGGGTTGAAAGAGATTCCTGACTGATATATAGACCAAACTAATTTTTCAGCTTTGTAAGTTTTGAGGTGGAATTAAACTCGATGGCGAAAAAGGTGTGCATTTTCACGAGGTTTCCTTGGGTGCAGCGCTGCACTCTAGGGGTCTAATTAATTCCTTTTTTCATGATTTAGAGCTGTGAACCTGGGGCGTAGCTCCCCATTTTACCAAGGTGTGGGCGAAAACATGACAGAACTAGGTTGATGGAAAACACAACAGAAGGGAGGAGCAAAAGGGACAGTGGGGGTTTTGATTTGATAATACATTTCTCTCTGAGTGCAGGGCCTCTGCTATCTTTATGTGTGGTCTGCAAAGAGTGAGTGGGGAGTGATCGTACATCTGCATGGCATTGTGTAACTGTTTATCAAGCCCTTCACATGTTTATTTAGTTCAGATGATTGAGGTTGTGTAATTGTTTACACTGGGGCAGCTTCTTTTTCAAATGAAGTTGAGTAATTTTTCTCTCTTGTAAAAAGTTTAGTTCACTGGAAAATCTTGCCTGTGGTAAACTGCTGTTCTGTAAACACTGACCCTTTGCTTACTCACTGACAACCACACAGCAAACATCACACGCAGTGCCTTGCAAATCTAAAGATTACAGTGTCTGCTATTGCCTCTTTGCAAAATGGTTCAAACTCCAACAGATTGGTTGGAGAGCAATCAGAGGTCTTTAATTTTAAAGTGCTGCTGCATGTTCTCAATTTAATTTAGATCTGCACTTTGACTAGACCGTTCTATCACATGAATACATTTGCGTGTTAGGAACTTAATTGTTCTTTATACAAAAGATGAAATATATTGTTATTTTTCACAATAGTTACCACGACAACAAGCAAAATCTCTGGAGCATATTCAACTCAAGTGTGATGTCTCCGCAATTAGGCTTAAGGAAGATGACAGAGCTCTGTGCGCAGAGCCCTGTCATCATGCACAATTCATGGAAGCAGTGGGCATGTGTGAATTACAAGGTCTTGGTGCCAAATTTGGAAAGCAAGGTTTAAGAATGCAATACAGCAAAGCACCTCACTAATGCAGATAGTATGTTTTCTTTTTTTTTTTTTTTTCCCCAATGTTTCCAGTCAACTTTCCAGACCACTAAAAGATGGGTAATTTCACTCTGTGCATCTTGTCTCCTTTCAACTGAATATTGAGGAATTGTGCCATAACCAGACTCTGTGTATAATTTTGGTTTGGTCCAGCTTTTTTCTCAAAACCTCACGCAATAAACAGAAAGTATAGGCCTGTAAAAATCCGAAAGAATTTTTTTTAATCTATTATAGAAACACATTAAGACAAGTAGGTTAGAGTAAACAAACAAAAACAACATATTTGTGGGATGTTAAGAGCTAGCCTGATTTTGTACTTTTTTTCCCATTTCTGTAAAGGCTATCTCTGTTCCTGTCATATCTTTGCAGTTTCTCTTATGACCCTTTCCTGTTTCCATTTTGCGTTTGCAGTCTTATAGTCACTTGTAGCGGGAACTGTGTGTATCATTGTGTTTTGACATGCAGCCAGGTGCGGGTTCTCCGTATAGAGGTATGTCTCATTGTGTTGAAGGAATCTATAGAAAGGAGGCAGAGTGTGAGAGTGTCAGGGTAATCATGCTGACAGTTGCATAAGAGCCTGGAGCTTGTTGAGACTAGATGAGTGTGTGTGTCCATTGTTGATGCCATTTGTCTGTTAGCAAAGGGACTTAAACAAGTTATTTCTTATTTTACTTGAGTGAGAATTTCTACTTTTTCTGACTTCTTTCATCTGCTACCTGCCGAACTGTAACGTTTTCTCAGAAGAAAGTGTGATAGAAGCTGCTACAGTCATACTTTTATCTCTTTTCTTCTGTAAGCATAATTTTAAATGGTGATTAAAAGTGTATGATTGTTTGATTCTATTAAGTTTGTTTGTTTATTTAGTGCCAATTTACAGCAGAGGTTACAAGTAGGTTTGCACTGATCGACTCTACTGCCAATACCAATTTTTTATTTATTTATTTTTTTCATCAAGAGGACAGTAGCTGACCTTTGCGAAGGTAGATAATATGGGGAGATGCGATTGGTTTTACATTTTTCAGCCAATTTTAAGAAAATCGAAGCCGATGTAGATCACTCGGTGCACTCCTTGTTTCAAGCACCTTTTGGGGAAAAAAGAGATCCAGTTTTTATACAGGAGATTGGTTAGGTCAGTAGCATGGTGTTCACAGCCTGGAATATTACCTCACATCATCCCTGTTTGTTGTAAAACTGTATTCCAAAAATGTTTACTTTTCTGTTAACCTTTCTGTCTTGTAAGTCTGATTAATTACTTTTTTCATGCTTTTTTAATTTGTTGCAAGTGAAAACAGGCAGCTTATTCTCTCCCCTCTGACAGATCAGTCATAATCAGAAGAGTTTGTTTATATTATTTCCATTGGTGGTATTTCCTTTGTCTCTATTATTTACAGTTCATTTCGACGATTGTTCTTTTTGTTTACTTATGGAGCACTTTCTGACTTGAGCTGTGTACGAAACTCCAGGAACGCTCGAGTCTTTGTCCTACAGTTTGCTGTCATATAAACTCCAAATTGAGGCAGCACAGCAGGCCTGTTGCAGGCGCCAGCTTGTTTACAGAGCTCTCTCTGCAGTTTGCATTTGTTTGGAGCCATGTGATAGAACTCAGGTCTCTGATAATGGAGTCTAATACCCCTCCTCGTGTGCCTCGTTTCTGTTCGTTCAACCCCTTCACTAGCTCCCCCTCCCTAAGCTTTGCAGATGTTTTTGTTCTCCTTGATTTATTTTCCATCCAAAATGTTATTTCGAATACAGACTTGTACCCATTTAGCAAGCACACATAAGAATAAGCTTCTATGTTTATGTTTCCCACTCAACTTTGCAGACAACACTTCAGTCAGAGAGAAGGGTAGATATAACACGGAATAATACCGGCTCGCTTCTCCCTTAAGAAAAGGGAGTTTGAGCCGCAGCTCAGTCTTCACCTCGACCTGGGGTCAGTTTACAACTTGTCAAGCCTTGAGTTGTCAAGGGTCATCACTAGAGTTTGTGGAAATGGTCTTATCAGTGTTGTAACAAAGGTTCAACTAACTTTGACCAAGTGTCTCTCAGCTAATGATGCTCAGTGAGTCAGCAGTCAAGATTTGTTTAATGCTTTTTATGTAATTATTTAAAAACAGGATGTCTTTGCACTCACTAAAATGGGGCACGTAAAAAATGTTTCTGATTTAAATGATTCTGCTAATCAAAGAAGTCTTAAAATATCTGAAAAAAATGTGGAATTTTATGTAAGATTTTTTTAAGGAGTAGAGGTGGATTCAAGACTATAATAAGGTATTTCTTGTTCTGTCATCTAAATTATGGATTTCTGAAAAACCAGTTCCTTCAGTCATAGATTATTATTAAGCTGCTGTCATGAAAACAGAGCCCACATTACTGGAATTTACCACGTAAGGTGTGAAGTTTATCTCTTTAGACAAAACTATGCTATAACCATCCATTTGGTCACCCATTCGCATCTCTATTTGTCTAGTCATACCTCCATTGTTCATCCATTGTTCATCCATCCATGCTTCCATCCATCTATCTATCTACCCTTCCAATTGGTTATCCATCTGTTCCTCTAACTGTCAACCCATACACCTATTTGTTCATCCATCCACCTCTACATTCTATCTGTCCATCATGGACAAACAGACAGACAAGTTTAGATAATGTTCATTCATTCACCTCTCTATCTTGCCATGCCTTGCTATCTGACCATGTGTCCTCCTCTGTCATCAATCATCTTTCAGTTTCCATTTGACAATTTTATATTAATATGTATAAATAATCAAAAATCTTTCTCAGAAATGTAATAAGGAAAATGTGTGGGTACAATAGCATGTTGACATTGGATCTTTGTCTTCTTTTCTTTTCTCAGGGGCAGTATCGGCCCGCTGACCTCCTCTGCCCAGAATCCTACACTTGGGTTTCTGTGGAGCAATGCATACCGCTGCTCAACAACTCCCGCTATGCTCGTTTAAATCAGGACCCTGATGCAGGTATGACTTTTTGTTGAAAGTATTTAATATTATTAGTAAATAACTCAGTAGTATTCTACATTAGTTCAGAATTATTTCTAAAATTAGTAACCGACTGAGCAACTGATGCTCCTTTTTTGGCAGGCCTCAGCAAGTTAGACACACATCTTCTATCTTCTTGTGTCTTTACGTAAGACAAATTAATCTTCTGTTGGCTCCTTTAATTTGTGCAGTCAGTTTGGCAGTGCACTTTTGAAGTCTGCATTAAATAAATTGTTATAGGAAATAGCAAAAGATTGTTTCTGTGAATGTAAATTGTGGAGAAGCAAGCATGTAACTCCTGTTTCCCTCTCCTTATTAATCCAAATAACAAAATATGTCTCAAACAGGAAAGAGCCACCAATCAGGAGTAAAAGTAAACACGTGGAGACAACAAGGCAATTGTGAAAGAGATTGGGTCGGATACACATAGTAAACAGTAAAGGATGCAATCACAGTTGTATTATTTTAGTGAAGGAAGTGACAAGAAGTTGTGCTGGGAGCTGTTTACTGGCACCAGCAGAAAGAAAACACTCTTTCATATTGAGATTGCTTTGAGAAACATTTCCCATGTTTGCTTTTATTAGTCCTACTGAAATTTTTCAAGTCATCAAACAGATTCTAACACCAAACAAAGATAATCTGAGTGCATGCAAAATGTTTCCAAATGTTGTTTTTGTTGCATATGTGATAAAAGCAGTCTAAACCAGCCTGTACTTATGTGTGAAGTATCAGGATGAATCACACTTGGCAACAACTACTACCACTGAGAGTTTGCTAAAAAAAAAAAAGTGTAACTTTTAAGTCACTGTTAAGTAATTTAGGCTCCCTCTTCTTTGCAGAATGGTTATAATTGAGCTGCTGTGCATGAAAGGGCTGTTTTAGGTCATACCACAGCATCATTATCTGGTTAAATCCAGACTTCAATTAGGCCACTTCAAAACATCCATTTTGGGTTTGGATCATTAACACAAGTGAGCTGTTCAGTGATTGTTGTTCAGTTTTTTCTGCTACAGAACAGAAGCAATAGCAATTCAGTCCTATTAAGCAAACCTGGAACAATTAACATCGCTATGTCTGACTATACATGTGTCTGATATTCCGGTTCTGAAATGCTGTCAGTTTCTAACCAACACGCTCTTGTCCCATCAGTTCACAATGCATTTTTCCAGAAAACATGGTGACACTTATTTTATTCTTTGCAAATTCCTTTAATTTTACTCAGTAACAGAAAAGTGAAGTAAAGAAACCAAGAAAAACCAAGAAAAAAAACACCTTTCTTAAAAAATATATATAACTGCTGTCCTAATGAGGTGTTTAAACACAGCTAAAGTTTACATAACTTTCCCATTCCATTGACTAAAATAAAACATAACTCATTCCACCAAAAATCCCTCATTTGTTAATTTTATTTTTCTATTTCTTTATTTTATGAATTTTATTGTACTTCTTTTTATCTTGATACTATTATTTTTTAAAAATCTATGTAATAATTTTGGGAAAGTTTTTATTTTTACCTCTGTAATCTGTGACGTTGTTTCCTTCTTCCCCATTCTGTTTGTGGCTGTTATGGTGTTTCTCATGGAGCTCCTGTTAATTTACTTCCTGAAAATTGTTATAGGGTGAAATGTACAGTCTTTCTGCTAGCATTTGTTAAGATGTTAGTTTTAGTTTCTATATAGATTTCAGCAGCAAACGGGACAATTTTATTGAGGCTGTGGGTGAACAAGTTGACTTTGCCTTTCCAGGTACTTTTTATGTGGTTCCTTTGTTATGGGCTGGTAAACTGATGTCAACTGGATGTTTTTCTTGTTGCTGAACTATTTCATTCAATTCCTTGCAAGTATTTTAATACTCATTTCTTTTTTTGCTGAGCTTTCTTGTTCACTTGTGAAGACTTGTGTATTTTAATTTTATTTTATACAAATTGTTATGCATTTCAATTGTTAATAACAGAGATCTGTTGATGGAGTGTGTTTCTTTTATTTATATTTGTGTTGTCATATTTCAAAATGTGTAAAAAAATTTTTATTGGCATCTAATGCAAAATATTGGTGAAAGCTTTAGTCTGCTCGTGGCTGTTAAGGAAGAAGGTGAGACAATATTGGCTGGGTGTTTTTTCTGCCGCTGAACTGTCTTATTGCATTTTGTGCAGAAAAAACACTCCATCAGTTAGGCTGAACTGCAACTCTCTGCCTTCTTCATTTACACAACGCAGAACTTTATTGGTGGTCCGGTTGGTGTAATGCTGAGCCCGGCTGTTGCTGACGCATTGATTATACTACTGTCTCTGTGACCCCTAGTGAACATCAGTCTGTACACACATACGTAAACCAAATGTACAGCACATATGTAGCATCTCTCACACACAATCATTGTTTGTTTGACAGCGAGAGAAGTTAGGCCATCGGCTGTTCAGCAGAATAAACATGGGAGAAAATGTGAGTGCTGTCTCTTGTTTGCCTGTAAATGCATCCAAGAGGCACCAGCCAGGATACGCAAACAATAAGTAACAATTTGTGTAATTTCATGTATGAAAATGGTGCATTTACATTCTGTTGCTGTCTTTAACGTTCCTGATTTTAAAACATATCAGTTAGCAACCATTTGACGTACTTTGGCGTTACATTAAATGGCACCTACCTGATGTCACCCACTTATCTCCCTTCTGTCTCCTGACTTCTCTACTATATTTCTGTCCTATTGCATTCCATATCTTGTCTATCAGTCAGACACTCTCCCTTGTGCCTCACAGTGCTTTCAGCTTCTTAGCCTGATGAGTGCTAATGTTCCCAGTCTGAGTGGGAGCTGATGGATTCGCTCCCCTCTTACTGGGCCCTGCAAAGCTTTTCATCGCCCTTGAATATTTTCTTGGATGTTTCACAAATTTTTGTATGTTCTTTTTTTTGGATTTTATGTGATAAATCAACAAAAACAAAGAAAAGGGTGCAGTTAGTTTTTTCAGCCCTCATGTATTAATACTTTGTTGAACCTCATTTAGCCAAAACTAAAGTTGCAGGTCTACCAGATTTGCATCTAGACACTCTTATTTAGGTGAAATCAGCTCAAGTTCAACCTGTTTAGATGGAGAAGTATTAAAAACTGTATTTTTAATACTTGTCCCAATTTCAGTCAAATTTAGGTCTGGACTTTGACTATGATATTCCTACACATGAATTTAATCTAAACCTTTCTGGCTGTAACTTTATGGTCATTGTTCTGTAACAAGATGAATATCTCAAGATGTTCTTATTTTAGCCTGACAACTAAAATGTGAACTGAAAATGGACGATAAATTCAAGCTCAAAGCAAATGCTTTCATGTATGGGTTCAAAATAGTCTCACAGACTTTAGTAGATTAAATCCCATGCTGACATCAGCTGGAAAGTCATGAGACAGATTCTGCTTTGACAATAAATATGGTGCTGGTCTAATATGGCAAGATCTCATTGTTTTCCCTGTTCTCCTTACTGCTCTTCTCCTGTTTTGAACACAAGTCAACCTTGATTTTCATAGCAATAATGACAATAAGATCCTTTACATTTAAAAGGATTGAGGTCAACAACAGATTAAGAATCTTTCTTTCAGTTGCTAACAGCATTCACACTTTTGCATCTCCGCTGTCAAATAATGGACCTCTCATACACAACACTGCCGTCTTGGCCTTTTTCTTTTTAAAAGCAAGTCCCATTTTGGATCTTCAACATTAGGTCACAGGAAGTGGTCATATCCCAATGGCTCTTTGACCCTCATCCGGTGTTAAGAACTTTGGGGATGGAATGGATGAGAAGAAGAAGCGTGGCGAGGTGTCAGGGCCCCAAACCTCAGCCCTGACCCTCAACACTCCTCTTCCCCCTGACCCTTGAACTCCAACCTAGAAAGCGCTGCGACCTCAGAATGGCGTGTCACGGAATGTCCGGCTGGCCTGACAGGAACAGGAAAAGGAACAGTATCTGGATCCGCTCAAAGTGAGGAACAGGCACTGGGGGAGATTGAAGAGAGCAAAGAAGAAAAGGAAAGTTGTTTATGTGAGGATCGGATGTTTGGGTTTTCTGGAGTAGGAGGGAGAAATGAACCCTCTGTTCAGTGTTAGTGCTGCGGTTAATGAACCATCTTAAAGCCGCACGCTGCTCCCCGCTGTGTTCTGTAAAGTCTTCACCTCTTAATATCTCCATCAGGCGAATGAGTGTAACTCCGGTCACTGTGACGAGAAGGGCAAATTGCCCTTAACCTGAGGTGAGTTTAAGTTAGGAACCATCAGACATTTAAATATTTTCTCTCTCATCCCCTCAGCTTACATTAATTCTTCATGGACCAGCATACTGGCGATTGGGGAGTTGCATAACATCTTTTAAAATCCCACATGAGGAAACCTAATGTACCACTGATTTTCTTCTTCACATTGCTCCACCATTCTTCAGTTTCCAGACTCAGCAGTTTTTTTCAAGAAGTGGATCGTTAGCTGTATCCTTGCACTCCAGGGAAACACAGCTAATAAATAAAATATGAGTTTCCAGGAGAGTTTTAAAACGCTACCTGAAAGATAAAACACATTTCTTCTTGCCTTAAGGTAGCTTGCTGTGGTTTGCAGAAGTATACCAACCCCTTCAACCCTTTTTCACTTAGCTACATTATAACCACAGTTTGACATTATTAATAAGGATTTTATAAACCTCTTCACTCTGATACCAATAAATAAAGGCAGTACACTTGTATGTTGGTTAATGCAGTTAAATAATTAGTTTATTTATAAAGTACCTCTTACAGAATTCTAAGTGCTGTTCAGCATAAATTACATTTAAACTGTATGTCACGAATACAAATAAAATCATGACATAAAGTCAAAATGGTTCTAGTTGCTCTGCGATGGTCTCTGGGTTTTGTTGGATAACATTGGTTAACATACAGCCTCATGAGCCCCAAGGTACAATGGGGCTGAAAAGCTACCACAACATATCACCCTGAACCCAGCATTCTCTATAGTGAAGCATGGAGGTGGCAGAATAATGCTCTGAATAAGTGCATTTAGCTTCCTTGAGTAAAGCTAAATATATGAAGTTGTTGCAGCTCATTTGATCAATATTTTGATAATTAGGTAATTTCACGCAGTATGCAGGTTCCAGTGGTTTGTAAAGATGACTAAATATTATTTGGTTCTCAGTAGTATGTCAAGAAAAAAAATGATTGGATTTGCTCATTTCTAATTGTCTGCATCCTGTTCACTTCCAATGTCACTTCCTGTTCGTCTGTCTCCATACTGTACATCAAAGCAGGTTTCATAACTGTCTTCATCTCTATTTTACACCACCCAGTGTTTAAACAGTGAAACTCTGAATTACGTAAATTAAACAACGTTCCTCTTTGTTTTGACTTCACTAACCTGATGAGGTGATGTCCCTTATTTTCTCTAATAGATCAAACCATCAGGTCTGAACTTCAGATGTTGAGTTGCAAATCTTAAAAGTTGTGTGTTTCAAGTAGTTTAGCAGTTCCAGTGAATAAGAGAAGAAAATGAGTCATTGCTTTCTGCTCGTGCCGCACTTTAAGAATGGCATGCATTCTTCTTACCTGTTGAGGAATATATTTGGGTTTGGTTGGCTCGCCAGGCGCTCCCTGCTGTGCCCTCCTCCTCCTCTTGGCGCCAGCTGTTAGCGGCTTGGCTCAGCCCCTCTCTCTTGGAGGCAGTCGTTTAAGTGTTTAAGGGTCAACATTTTTCACCTTTTTTTCCATCTGAGTCTCCAGAGAGCAGTTTGTAGCTTCTGGACACACGCAGACAAGGTAGCTGGCAGTGCATGGCATGGGCTCTGTGAGCAACACCAACTAACTAACCGCCTCATGCGCTGACTCAAACCTGAAGGCACCAGGGAGTTAGATTCCCTCCAACAGCTTCTCGGAATAATGAGGCATCCTTGCCAAGGCACTCAGAGGTTAATTCAAATGAGCAGAGAAAAATAAAAACCAAACTTTATGCGGTTGGACGCATCCACAGTGGTCCTGATTTTGTTTTTATATGTGCTTTGTTTTTGTCTAGGAGACTCTCAGGCGGTGAAGGATGTGGGCAGAGCGTTGGTGCTGCACAAGCGGACCGTCATGCCCTACATAGTGTACAGCTGCAAATTTAAGGGCCGCAGCGACACAGCCGAGGTGCAGGAGTACGCCAGCTTGGTCGGTCAGGACTGCGCGGAAAAGATCTTACTCTACCGCTCCTGAACAAGGAGCATTGTCCCACTGCCACCTCTCCCTGGAGAATCATTTGTTTTCTTTGTCTCTAAAAGAGCTCCCTGCTGCAGCCTCACTATGCTTTCTTCAACACAATCTACTGTGGGCAGGTACCTAATCATACATACATCCCAAACAATAAGACTATCAATGCAAAGCTCATTTAAATCAGAAAGTAGTATTTTGCTGACAGTAACAATTTGATGATTATGGCTTACAGCTAAAAACAACTTTTTTAGGACCATTTTATTATACATAAGACAAAAACATATTAGTACAGATGATTCTATTTCTATATTCTTTTTTTTTTTTGTTATTCATATGTACAAATGCATCACTTTATCTTTTATTCACTTGATAGAAAAAAATTCACCCAACAATATTAAAAACTCAAAGATGGATTCATGCATTTTCAAGAAAGCCTAAAGGGTCATTTTGTTTGCCTTTTTTTGGACCCTAGCCAAGTTTAATATCAGTGTTTTAACCTGCACCTCTGGTGTTTGAACTGAGCATGAATGAAGACAAGAAAACAAACCACTGAAACAATTATTTTTAAACAAAACAAAGGTATAAAAGTTTACAAACTGTGTCAAAGCATTGTAGATTTTGAAACAACTCATCTGAGCTAATCCAGATGGCAACAAAAGCAGGGAATAGCCCTTTATCAAGTGTGTTGTTTCAGGATTTGTAAATATACAGATAAAAGAAAACAGAGACTAAAGAAAATTCTTGAAAATTTTCAATTTTGCATTTTTTTTGTGCTTAAATTTTGAGAATGCAAAAGAAACTTGCACGAAAATTTCAGGCTAGAAAAGTGTTTTAGTAAAAAAAAAAAAAAAAAAGGAATACTAAATCCAAGAATGTTGACCTACTTAAAATTAAATCTACGTATTTTACAATATGCAAGCTTATTAATTGATCAAGGTTCCTCTTTCATAAACTGCATCAAGGCATAGGTTGCTTTTTTTCACCACACTTCATCCTTCCACTCAACTTTCCATCATTATACTGGGTAACAGGATTCCGAACATCCAGCTTCTGTTACAATGACTTTTTGTCTTATAAAGGATGTCGTTGAGCCCTGTTTTTTATGCTGTCGTACTCAAGTGAGGGTGAAATTTTTCTGAGGTTTTAGTGGTTTTCATTAGCTGTAGGCCATAGTCATCCAAATGAATTAAATTACTGAATTAAATGACATTTTCAGTGATGATGGAATTTATTGAGATGTTTTTCTCACTTGCTACAAGAGCGGTCGACGGAATGTTTTTTTTGTTTGTTTGTTTTTTGTTTTGAGATAATAATCAGCTTGAATTTTTCTCTTTTAAACCATCCTTAAATTTTATGTTGAAATGTTTATGTTTGAAACCAGCATTGGGTTAGAAACCTGACTCCAGTTTGACTTCACTGCTTCCTTAACGACATGTTTTGTATTGAAAGTCAACTGTTTGTCTTCTTTGTTTCACTTTCATTCAGAAAAGAAACATTTATTGTCTCATATTAAACTACAGTAATTTAATGACTTTTATGTACGAGGTTACTTTAAACTATGTTTCTGTTTTAAGTGTAATTTTCTTTATATAGTCTCTCTGTTCTTTTGTTTGTTTAAACCAAATAAACAGTTTGCATACTCAAAAATTTTGCTCTTATGATTTCAGTTCAAATAACTTTGAGTTTCCCTGGCTGACAGAGCTCCTCATCCTACTCTGTGGACTGAATCTAAATGTAGAAGTCAGTCATTTGAACCAGCAAGACAAACTAGTGCAACATACCCTAGTGCAACTGCTAATGGAGTTGACCAGAAAATACAAATATTTAGCTAAAATACCAGAAAGACAGAAACTTTACAAGGCTGCTGCTGTTTAAACCTGCATGGACCAGAAATATCTTCTGTATGCTCCAGAATTGTGGTTTGAAATGCATTGCATTTTAGTATTAAGTGATTCTTTATTTGACCATCAATAGTAGAATTTATTTTAATTGACAGGCAAATGGAAGCAGACACTGCAGTTATAATGAAATGAAATTACTCAAGTCATTCTATACATAAAGAAAACAGAAGAAAACTATGTTAATGAAGAAAATTACATTTAAAGAAAAAAAGTGCTGTTCTATAATTAACATTATTTAACACTGACACTGTGATTACTGTTTAGCCAATCAGGAATGTGGCATTATTAAATGTAAATATTTTTTTTTATATAAATGAGGGCTCAATTAGCCCTTACTTAATGGTTTTGCCCTAATCAAAGAGATTAAGTAATTTTTTTCCTCTTAACAAAAAAACACACTGTGCCCTCCAAAAACTCCTGCTGTGGTGTTGAAAGCAGCATTGAGTATTTATCCTTTTATGATTGTGGTATAATGACAGCTCTACTTAAATTACATTTCAATCCAGGGTGAGTTGGACTCATGCAGCTTGATAAACACCAAGAGTTGGAATAAAATCTTTAGTTCATTTAACTATTTTGTGTTGATTCGTCTAAAAAAATAAATACACAATTTTGTGCTGCGACTGCAAGAAAATTAGAAACAGTTAAAGTAATATAAAAAACCCCTAACTTGCTTTCAGTCATGCAAGTGGCTTGGTGTCAACTTAACCCAGCGCAGCAACTCTGGTGCGGCCTGACCCGCCTGTCTTCACCTCAATTTATCAAAACAAAACGTGGAGTTGGCCCTTCCAGATTAAAACCAACCTGGGTTTGAGAGCAGTCCATGTCCAGGGAAATTAGAAAAGACTGACAGGCTAATTCTTCACGACAGGAACACTGACGCTGGCTAGAAGCCGTGTTGGATGCACTCTTTCTCTCCCACATTAGGCATGCTTACACACACACACTCCTGGCACCGTCAAGAGCACTTTAAATTTTGGTAGAGGGCAGAAGCCAGTTCTGTGGTGGAGCTCTCACTGTAAAAACAAGTGGCTCAGACCAGCCATGGAGTTTATAAAGAGCCCTTAATGCTTCAAGATATATACTTGTGTCACACTCTATAACTCTTATGAAGGATGAGGACCATGATCTGCTGCTGGAACCCCGTTCAGCCAAGAGTCAACATCTGTAGATTTAAAAGGCTCACTGATCAGACAGGAACATGTTAAATTCTCCCTTTTCCATAAATTGCATTTAGTTTATTCAAATGTGTTTTTTTTAAATAAATAAACTATTTCTAAAAAGCAGAAAACAATCCTCTTATACACAGAATTTTATTCGGTGGTTATAAAAATGCATTTTCAGGTACTGAAATACAAGAAATGCAACATAAACATGTATTTCTGCTAAGATCAGCTTTGGATCATTGTTCTGTTGCATCTAGTTCCTAATTTAGGTTGAAATGCCCACTTCCTATGAAGTGGACATTTCATAGGAACACTAACTGGCAGTGAAACAGACCCACAGCATGATGCTCCCACCACCTTGCTTCACAGAGAATACAGCATTTCCGCTTTGAAAGCCTCCCCTTGAATACTCCGAACACACCTCATACCTCATCATTATATCCAAAACCTGGCTCCATTTAATTCCCTATTAGTATTGTTAACACTGAAAATCCTTCCAAGTCTCCATCAATTCCAACGTGTTATGGTCTCAAAGTGTTAGTTTCTGTGAAACTGCCAGAGGTAACAAGTCAGTGTTAGAAAGATGAAATCTGAGACCACTTTCTTTGTTTAAAATGAGTTTCTAGAGTTTCACTGCTCTCTCAAACTATCACTGTTCCCTGTACAAATTGTGTATATTATGATTCTGCTGTGATGCTGATTATGCTGCCATTCACACTCAAAGGATTCTTTCAGTAACGTTGATGTGGACCCCAGGAAGAACAGTCTCTACTACGTTTGAGACTAATGGGGATCCTTAAATAGATGACTACATAAACTTAATTTTAAAGAGCTAAATGGTGGAGACAGAAACAGTAGGTCTGTTCCAACAATTGGTTCTGGAAGGGACACCTCAGACTAACCTCAACTTGAAACTTAGTGAAAATGTGTGGACAATGCTTAAAAGTCGAGTCCTTCCTTGCAAATGAATTAATAGATTCTGTTGAAAAGAGTTGTCAAAGGTCCAGAATGAATTATGGGAGAAACTTGTTGATGCCTACAGAAAGCTTGATGTTGCTTTGGAACTCTGTAGTCATTTATTTAAAAATTAGTGGGTGTCTATGTATAGTTATACATGTTGATGTTTCTAACCAGAACTCGGCTGTAGGTTTGCATTTGGTGAATATAAAGATTAAGGAAGTGGTGAGCCGTTCAAACTTTCCTCCTCCTCTCATGATGGGTTGTGGTTTTATGAAAATGCTTCATAATAGGCTGAGAGAAGAAGATTACACAGCATGAAATAATAATAAAAAAAACAAGTCCGGAATGAAAGACGAGGAGTCTCCAAGTTTGAGGTTTTCCCTATTTTTCCAAACTTGCATGTGGAAATCATGAAGAAGAATTAAAGAAAAAAAAATCCCTCCACTGTTTACATAAATCTAAGAGCGACTACGTTTCACAGTTTGCCTCTGCGCTTAGTCAGATTTGCTTATTCTAATCTGTTTTCTATATGATATGAACACAGAAACACTCAGCTTCAGGGTAGCTGTCATCCGCCAGGATGCACTCAGATCGCATCTGTCCGCAGGTATGAAGGGGCCAGTATGTGACGCTGTCTTCCTGTTTGTATCTGTGAAACTTTATGTAGGCAGCAACGTGTTTGATCTCTATCTTTGTTTTCCTTCTTCGGACCTTCAACGAGCAAATCTGCACGCGTTGCACACAAAGCCTTGCTTTATTATACCAGAGGGCAGAATGTAAACACTCCCTCAGCCCACAGCTTGTTGCTACTGCTGCATGTTTCCATGCATGTGTGTGTGTGTGTGTGTGTAGCATGTTTACTCTATCTGGCTTTTACATGTGTGTAATGCTACTTGTTTGGACTGGCATCAAATAACTACTGTGCAAACGAGCATGTTTTTGTTTGTTTTCTTGGATTTTCCCCATGCCCACTCTTCTGCTTATCGTCATTGTTCAGTTGTAATGCAGATGTGTAATATAGGCTCATGTTTGTACTGGCACCCACGCCAGCGGAAGCTCCCAGGCTGGAGGAAGTGCTGGGATCCTTTTGTCCACGAGGGCCTCCTGGATTAAGTGTATCATGCCCTAAATGCAGTCCTTTCTCCTGGGGATTATCAAAAAGCAGAGAGGAGAGGGAGGGGGTGCCCACTCTCTCTCACTCCCACTGGGGCCCTGTCACCCAAATTCAGCACACTGTCAGTGCAGCGCTCTCTGGAACCCCTCGCTGGGGATGCAGGACATGAGCGGAGACACTGTATGCCCAGAGACAGAGCGAAAGTGATTAGCTTGTGTTATTAAAGGAGCGTAGAAAATGCATTTTGACATGGAGCTTCAAGTTGATCCAACTCACTGTTGGACACGGTGGAAATAACCCACAAGCATCACATTATTATGTACATACAGTATGCTCAGGCATCCTGGGGATGAAGCTGGAACAATCTGAGCAGGATCGGCTGATTTATTGGTAAAACTGTTCACACTCCCTTCAGGCCTGACACGTTGAAGGGTTTTTAAAATGCACGTATAAATCAGACTTGTTAATGGGGTGGATTTAATTCTGATGGATCAATGAGGGGAGATTCCACATTTAACTAAAGACCAGCCTCAAACAGATGTTTTCTGCATTTTAAAATATAAAAAGTATTGTTGCTCCATCTTGAAACCCAAGTGGAAACAGATGATTGTAAAGCTGCCTGGATGAGCTTGGCGTCTTCTACCTCTGAGGTCACTGCTCACACCATGTTGGGGTCAACCATACTGGTTTCTACACCAGTGATGGTAGGATGTAGCAGGAGATGAACAGATGCACTGAGCTCTCATCTGCTGCTCCAGTCTCTTCAACTGTTATGCATTATAAATCTGATCCCAGAAATATTATTTTTCAATGTGGTGACTTAGAGCAACCCAACCCTTGCAAGTCAAAAAGGCTTTTTTACTCCAACCCTGAAGATGGCGTATTTACTGACAGAGGTTGCACCTTTTTCTTGGTGTAAATATTTAACAAGATGCAAAATTGTTCGTTATGCAAATACATAATTGCTGCAGTCAGTGACTGTTCTTGATTGAAATCATCTTGAGGGAGCCCTTTCTACTAAGCCACAAGTTAAAATAAAACAATGGTTTTGAGGGTCAGTGTCAAGGGGCAATTGTGGTGATTCCAATAAGAAATGCAATTAAAATCACACATGTATAAGTTTGTTCATTAAAAACCTTCTGCGCCATCCTCCTCCACTTCCTGTTCTCTTTGTCTTTTCTGCCAGTAGTAGCATCTGGTTGTTGATCACATGACTCGAGAGATGCGAAAAAAAGTTTTTCCATTGCTGTTTTGCAAAATACATAAATTCTTTTTAAAAATGTGAGGCCATTAATAAAATGTAGCCTTGTAATTCCAATTTGAGTGACTATATTGTCAGTGGAAACACAGCTTGTGCCTTCTTCAGAGGTTTTTGTGTTGTTTCCTTTAATAGTTTTTAGTGCAGTGCTACTATAAGCAAGAGGATAAACAGATAGTTTGATTCGTTTGACACAGTGCAGTGTGAAAGCGAACTGCACCAACTGAAAATATGACTAATA